AAAGTGCTGGGATTACAGGCATGAGCCACCGTGCCCAGCCCCAAGTCATTTTATATCATTAAGAGTGGTTTTTGTTATCATTACTAGCCAGAAGACTTGATGAGCTTGAGAGATCTTTTGTGGTGGTTTTAAAATATGTCTACAAATTATTTGATATTCCCCCCTTCATTCCTCTCCCATTGAATGTGATCTGGACTTAGCGACTCACTTCTAAGGAATAGAAGAATATAGAAGAAACGAGAGTATGTCACTTCTAAGCCTAGGTCATAAAACACATTGCAAATTCTTTTCTTTCTCTCCCTCTCTGCCCCCAACCCCGACCCCGAGACCCTTTGTTCTGAGGGAAGCCATCTCCTATGTAATGAAGCGACTCAGGCAGTCCCCTGGAGAGGCCCATGTGGCAAGGAGCTGAGGCCTCCTGCCAACAGCCAGTGAGGAACGGAATCTTTCCACCAACAGCCATGTGAGTGAGTCACCTTGGAAATGGATCCTCCAGTGCCAGTCAGGCTTTCAGATGACTGCAGCCATGGCTGACATCTTGACTGTAATCTCATGAGAGACCCTGGGCCAGGAATAAGCTGCTCCTGAATTCCTGACCCTCAGAAACTGTGTGATGATAAATATCTGTTTTTAAGGTATTAAATTCTGAAGTAATTTGTTATGCAGCGGTATAAAACAAACATATCCTGGAATCTTCCAGATCCTTCCAGTTTATGATTCCATAATTTAAATGCAGGAGAAGGTATCTCTAGTTGCCTGCTACTTTTGCTAATACTCCCCAAACTGCTTTGCCTGTTATATTTAAAAATTCTTCCTTGAACAGCCTGCATTTCATGCAACAAAACATTTTAGACAGAAAATGAAATGATATTTTTTGAATAGAGATATTTTTCAACTGGATATATACTATTTTGATAGCTTGTATGTTTTAATAAAATGAAGCCTTGGGAAATTTATGTCTTCCATAAAATTCTGCAGCAGGAAGTGCTCTTTGGTCCTTGAGGGCTGTCAGAAGTTATGTGGAGCCAGGTGCGGTGGCTCATACCTGTAATCCCAGCACTTGACGTCAGGAGTTCAAGACCTGCCTGGCCAACATGGTGAAACCCCGTCTCTACTAAAAATACAAAGGTTAGCCAGGTGTGGTGGTGCATGCCTGTAATCCCAGCTACTCAGGAGGCTGAGGCACGAGAATTGCTTGAACCTGGGAGGCAGAGGTTGCAGTGAGCCCAGATCATACCACTGTGCTCCAGCCTGGGCAACCGAGTAAAACTGTGTCTCAAAAAGAAAAAAAAGAATGAAAAAAAAAAAGGAAAGGTAGAAAAAAGAAGAATAAGTTATGTGGATTTCTTGACATTTTATGCAACGTGTTGTGTTAAGAGCATTTTCCAAGATAGAATGTGTATAACTTTTACCAGACTTTCATAGAGCCTTGAGCCCCATGTCCTTCTCCCTACTCAAGATAAGAGTTAAGAACCACTTATCTGGTTCCTATTCCCACCTGTGGAAAGTTAGGTACAGAGAGGTGAGTGACTCACCCACAGTTAGAGACAGAGATCTTCTGACACTGAACTCAGTGCTCAGACTCCAATATGTAAAATCAATTCTACTTAGAAGAGGCAGCTCAGGGAAGTCTGGTTTTTGCAATACCCTCAAGTGTGCAGATTCTCAAGACTTTTACATTGATTATTTTGCTCTTGCATATGTTTTGCTTGATTAACTCATCATGCTGCTTCAGGAAAGGCGTAAAATGAATCTCTCCAGAAAACTCTCCCTTCCTGATGAACCTCTTGGCTTGGTCCCTTTCAGCTTAGCCTTTACATTGAAGTACACAGGAGCTCAAAGTGATTTATCACCGTGGTACCTGGTAGAATCCAAAATTATTCCATGAAGGAAATACATTATGCTTTTCTTACTTGATTACTATAGATATGTCACTTATATGTTTCTTCACTATATTTTGAAAACTACCTCTTTACATACAGTACTGTTACCCATCTCTTTCTGAACTAAGCTAGATATGAATATTATTATCATAATAAATTAAGATGTTTTGGTTGATGGACTGAAAACCAAAGTTAAGTTCTAATATTAATGTTCAGGATACATTCTGCCCATTTAGAAACTAACAGTTGCTAAAAAAAAAAACCCCACAGATGTCTGAAAAATAAGTATAAATCTTTGGTGAATTGGAACATATCTTGCACTCCTCTTATATCTTTCAAGGTGCTGGTCATTCATTAGATTCTTTAAATACTTAATCACCAGTAACATTGAGCATTCACCATAAGCAAGCCTGGGCTACTTAAAGCCAGTGGAGCCCGTGTTGTAAATGGCTGGTCCTAAAAGTATAGGAAATCCAGATTTTACCCTGACTTTTCTCACCACAATAGATTTACCAGTCATTCCCACCATCCCTGTGTGCTCCACGACACAATCTTTTTGCTGTAGCCAAAGCCAAGTCAGAGAAATCATAACGAAAACTACAGTCCTGGAGAACCTGGGGCTGAAGAATCTGTGCTAATGCCATAAACTGTCCAGAGAAAGGTCTAAGCTTGACTCCTGGCTGTCCCTCCTCCCACTTAGCTCCGGAAGATATCTGCTATGAGCAGGTTCCTGGGTTCTGCCAAATGATCTAGCATCATCTGGTCTTGGCCACTGTTCAGGTTCAGAGAGCACTGCCCCTTCTCCCCAAAGGTGGAAACAGATTTTCATAGCCTTGGAAACAGCCCCAGGGTTTCTGAATGCAAATGTTTCCAGAAAATTCAGCTTTATATCCTAACTTGAAAAATAATCTTGTAGCCGGAAGATAAAGTTGAATGAATCAAGTGCTGATTAGGTAGCCGTATTCTTCCGTAAACAGGAAGATATGGATATATTTGGCAGGGGGGAGGGATATGTTTCACATTTTGGTGATTATTTTAAGAAGTAAAAACAGCTCTATATTTAAAAGTAATTTCAAAATAGCAGATTAGTCTCATTTGAGGAATGGCAGGAAAATCCTTTGACAAAGAAATTAAATTTATTTCAAAGTTATCAAGGGGTTGAACTTAATTATAGATGGCAGCAAAGAGCAGAGAAAAAACTCCTTGCAAGTTTTCTAAAGAAAAACTAAGGTGAGATTTTCTAAAAGGATAATATATTTTAAAAGTTATATATAATATATAATATGTATAATATAATATATAATAAATATTTATATATATGTATGTTTTTAAATTTTGAGACAAGATCTTCTTGTGTCACCCAGGCTAGCGTGCAGTGGTATGATCATGGCTCATGCAGCCCCAAATTCCAGGCTTAAGCCATCCTCCTGCCTCAGCCTCCAAAGTAGGTGGGACTACAGACACATGTCACCATGCCTGGCTAATTTTTTAAATTTTTTGCAGAGATAGGATTTGACCATGTTGCCCAGGCTGGTCTCGAACTCCTGGGCTTAAGTGATCCTCCCACTTTGGCCTCTCAAAGTACTGGGATTATAGGAATGAGCCACTATGCCTGGTGCCTCAACAAGTTATATTTTTAAAAAACAGGGAGAATAAAGGAGAAGAAAGGAAAGGGGAGGAAAAAGCCCTTTTGGTAACGATGGACTTAAGGACACACTACCCCAAAAGTATGGCACTGTAACATTTGAGAAAATAGCAGAGGCAGTAAGGTCACTCTCACCTTCTCCTGCCCTTCTGCCCCGAAGCAGTTCATAAGACCCACATGTGAAAGCTACTCTTCCTATACCCAAAGAAAAGGAACATTCTTATCTCTGAAGACACAGGTACACAGAGAAGAATCTGAACAAACAGGTCTTGCTAAATTCCGTCAGTTAATTACCATTAGGGTAATAAACTCTTTTTTCAAGTCTGTTTCTCCACAATTATCTACTTCTTCATCAAAGCTGGCATAGAAATACACAAGTCTAATTGTTTCTTCAGGTTTTCATTTCCTCATGAAGGCTCCTGTGTCACTTAAAACTGACATTAAATGAATTTGTATGTATTTCTCTTGTTGATCCGTCTCTTGTTCTAGGGGCCTCAGCTGTGAACTTGGATGGGTGAGGAAAATAAATTTTTCCTGGCTGGGCAAGGTGGCTCCCACCTGTAATCCCAGCATTTTGGGAGGCCGAGGCGGGTGGATCACCTGAGGTCAGCAGTTCAAGACAAGCCTGACCAACATGGTGAAACACCATCTCTACTAAAAATATAAAATTAGCTGGATGTGGTGGTGCACGCCTGTAGTCCCAGCTACTCAGGAGGCTGAGGCAGGAGAATCGCTTGAACCCAGGAGGCAGAAGTTGCAGTGAGCCGGGATGGTGATGGTGCCATTGCACTCCAGCCTGGGCAACAAGAGCAAAACTCTGCCTCAAAAAAAAAAAAAAAAAAAAAAAAAGGATACTTTTCCATGCTTACAATGTTTTTCTTTGAAATTCTTTCATCTGAAAGTTTGGAAGTTCAGTAAAATGAAGTAATTTAAGAAAACAAATGTGGTTTTCATGATTGTATCAAGAAAACACACCTCCTCTATACGTTGAGTAAGATGAATCCCTCCGCAGAATCAGTAGTGTTAGGCTGTGATCACTTCTGCTATCTACAAATTGCTTTAGATGGGACTTTGCAAAGCAGAGTCAAAATATATACAATGGAATTTCTTTTTTATGATAGTGATACTAATATATAGGAGTACTACTTTCACTAGAGGAGTTGTCTACATTTCAGTTTTCTAAAAGGATTAGATATTTTGATTTTGCATGCATTAGACACCAAGTATGCACTGAATATGAATTACAAAGCAACATCAAAAGGGAAATAAATACATATTGCAGAACATGAAAGTAGGTAAGAGCCAAGTTAATAAATATAAATTATGTGTCTTTTACTACCTACTATGCTATTATTGGTGCTCGACAAATATTTACTATTAAAAAACAAGGTGTGTCAATGGTCCCAAGTAATTCTACTATGCTGACTCAAATGATGACTGAAAATGCTTCACTAAACTCTTTTATTTTGCAGGTATTATTACTTGGCATTCAGAGCACATCAAACACCTCTTGCTAGCAAAGAGAGCTGTGTGGCTATCTTGGAAAAGTCCAGATTAGATCACTGGGTGCTGGGAAAAACAAAGGTAGTTTGTTCTTTATTGTTCAGATTGTCCCGTGTGATTTCTTTGTCTCTTGTCAGTGATGTCACTGGCATGAATGGCTCTGTAAGTTGTGTAGCTTAGCAAACAAGACCCCAGCCTAACAATGATCTTTGCTGGTCTTGTGTCAAGAGGTTGGGGACCTTAGGGAGTAGAGGAGGAGGGTTTGCCTCCTGTTCTGTATGTAATTTGAGAGCCATTTAGCATTTCTAGAATGAAATCTTTGAGCTCGTTTAAAAATGTTTCTTTTCTCAGTGTTGCTTATTCCAATACCACATGTAAATACACAAATCATATCAATGGCAGTGATGAGTTTCTAGTAGAGTTTTGTCCATTTTTTCACTGGACTCATGTTATTTGCTACATAGCCTGATTATTAGTCTCAGCATCTGTAGCTTTTCATTTGGGAGAACATCATGTCCCCATAGGATCCCAGGTTTTTATGGTCCATCCTGATTGCCTTAAAAAAACAGCCTCAGCCTTATTGTCGATGGCAACACTGCTCCTACTCAGCAGAAATTAGATCACTGTGGATCATCCAGGTACCTCACCGTCTGAACTTCCACTGTTGGCTGGGTCATTCCTCTTGGTCAGCACCTTTATCAGAGGCTATGGGGAAAGAGAGTAGATAGGGCTCATACTGAGAAAATGGAACTCCTGACTGACATGAGACAGGCCTGGAGAGTGTTTGGAATCGCTAAAACCCTGTTGACCTCATCATCTGTTTACATCAATTATCAAGGATTGGCTCAATCTTAGAAGGAGAATTGTATTTACCCCCATGAAGTCAGTAATGTGAGCATAAGTCACATCGCTATAAACTTTATTTATATCATTGTTTTAATATTTTCATTTAGAATATGCTGTAGTAGAGTGAATTTCTGTTGAGGAACCCATATATAATGTTAAAAATAATGTCTCGTTTCAGGTTTTTCTCAAATATTACCATGTTGAGCAATTAAATTTGCTACTTCGAGAAGTCATAGGCAGAGTGGTTGTGCTACAGGCATATACCAAGGGGTGGCTTGGAGCCAGGAGATACAAAAGAGTCAGAGAGAAGAGAGAGAAGGGAGCCATTGCCATCCAGTCAGGTAAATGGTCCAGTTTTCATAAATACTGCTCTGGCTCTGGGTATTGGCATGCCATTAAGTACTGGGGAATACTCAACTGTTTCTTTTCTAAGTGGTTTCCCTCCGTCCCTCCTTCCCTCCATCCCTCCCTCCCTCCCTCCCTCCCTTCCTTCTTTCCTTCCTTCCT